GAGAAGTCATTATTTCTGTATTTGACTGCAAACCAGAACTTTGGAGCACTCTAATGTTACCGCAATAATCATCACAGAACAATGAGAATATTTGGTTAGACTGTGGCTCATTTTTCATCTCTCAAGAAACTGAGAGATTATAACGGCATCTTTCCACGCACAAGGCCCCACAGCGTGTTGTAGTAAAGAACATACAAAATAAAACAAAAACTGCTTACTCGGTGGGGGACGGCTAACTGCAGGGTGAGACACAGCTCTCCTAAGTGTGCAGCAACACTAGGGAGAAATTTGAAGAGGAGGCAGAAAGCAACACCATACCCAGTTGACAGCAAGTGACCTCACTTGGATTTTGATCACGGGAAAGCCTCAAAGCTTAAAAGCTCAAAAGTTGCCTACAAGATCTAGTGGCACTACATTGGTCAAGTCTTGGAAATCAAAAAATGCACGGTGGCTTCTGTCTGCTACTTTTTGGACCATATTGGCCTATTACTTGAACTGCTCCTGTGAGATTTAAAGAACAGCCAAAGCACTCAGAATAGCCTGGCTACTTAACGATTCCCCCCAGAGACAGCTCTCCCAACTACCAGTTCACTCACACTACATCACATCCCTCCCTGTACTCACATTAACGCTGCAGATTTGGAAAGCCTGCAGTAAAAGACACCCAAACCAAGCTTACCCACGGTCAAGCTGACAGCAGTATCGGTAACAACCCAGAACCAGCCAAATTCACCTTTTCCAGGCACAATTACACACTTACTTCACAATGTTAGCAACAGAGAAACACTGCAAGACAGATTTCCCACAAGAGACTACAAGCTGGCCTGCTTTCGCAGGCCCTGATTTTGCATGCGCAAACACTCTTGAATTTCAGGTACAAGCACCTACACCAAGCATAAACACACACACACACACAAGAAAAGGTCACTTTTTTGGAAGAGAGGTATCAGAGGAAATTGAGAAAAAAGCAAACAAGCTTAGCATATTCCCAGCTACTGCAAGATCTTGTTTGTAGAGGACAACAGGGAAGGAGGAGAGAGACAATATCCCTGTCAGACCCCCAGCACTTACAATCAAAATGACACATTCAGCAAGACTAGAAGACTCAAAAGAGCACCTGGATTGAAAAAAGGATCAATTTTTCATTTTGTGTATGCTTAATTTTGAGCTTAGCTTTAGGAAGCAACAGTGAAGTTTAGAAGTACACAAGAGGAATGAACGTGATGTTCAGAGAACCGAGATGGGAAGGGAATTCCATGCATAAAGCAACAGTTTGGGAAAAAATATATATATAAAAGAAGCACAAGGATAAAAGTGAGAGATGGTTGAGATGGTTTACAGAGCATGAAGAATGGAGTGGCAGGTGAAGGGCATGAAGGGGAGAGAGAACAGGTTCCAGTGAAGCTATGCAGTGATGTAAGATGAGAAAAATATTTACACTCAAAGCAAAAAGCCGGGCACTAAAGATAGTCAAAAACCAGGTAGCACATTTTCATTGACTTAGTGAGCAGTACATTGCAAGCAGGCTGCAGGGGAGCAATCAGGAGGTAATTGAAGAAGTGGCTGCATGCAAGCCAGAGACAAGAGCCTACAGAAATCTTGAGTGGAAGAAATCTGGAGGGATGCTGCTCAGTCCATCCCTGCCACAGCGATGCCAGACACCTGAACATTTTCTCCATAACCAACACCACATTGGACTCCAAATGCTCCCACTCTGCACATCCTCAGTGCAAACCACCACTGAACACACACACACTGTACAGAAGAACGCTAACAGCACAAACAATGCTGGACAAGCTCTAGATTTGATTGTGATTGATAAAATGTTGTGTCCCTGCTGAGACAATAGCTGCACACAGAGATTATGGTTTCCTCTTCAAGACCCTCACAGCTTACACAGGAAAAGAGAAAAATTCGCTCTACAAAGAGCTTCCCTTCTGTCTGGCAGGTAGGTCTGGTATGCAGCGTCCGCTACATCACAGCAAGATGTGTTACTTTGACCAAATTTCACCCACGTTAACACACAACCATATGAAAGGTTCAATTGTTTCTGATAAACACACACAGTGCCAACACCCAAGGGCCACAGCATTCTTCACTAATATCTTGTCCTTATGCACAAAGACATCTCCCCTCCTGGAGATAAACAACTGGATTTCTACAGGAATAAAAAATAAAAATCATTCACTGTCTTGAGTTGTTACTGTAGCTTCCTCCCCGCTCTTGAGCCTTCAGCTGCTCTCACACCTTGAGCACACATCTGGCCATAAACCCCAACGAGTCATGAAGGGGTGACAACTGACAATTAAATTCTGACATCAGTTTAGATTGTACTAATGGAAAAGGCTGGGTTCCTAGTTAAATTATCACTTTACTGCAGACTTTACCAGACGATCATCCTTAACTCACCAGTGGGAACTGGTAAAGTGGGAAGTGAGAGCTGGTAACGGTGCACCACTTGCTTGGAGAGGTCCTATGGGGCCATGAGGAGTGCAGCTTGGGTCCTACACAGGACACTGGACGCAGCATCCCTCTGAATCTCAGCTCACTTCCTCCACCCCATACTTAGGAAGGACTCCTAAAGCACTGCCAGATGCACTTTGACCCAGGACGACTCGCTACGCTGATAATACCTGGCTCATTTTCTCCTTGATACCACAGCTGTGATTTGTGCCTTTTGGTGCTTTCCAGGGTTAGAAGCACAGGTAGAAATTAACTGGTTTAAACTTAATCCTGAAAAGATGAAGGCGGTGATGCAGAGGGAAATACCCTGAGGCCCCGGTGAGCACTATAATTATGCCTTCTGTAAGAATAACTCCCATTCTTGTGCAAGTGCTTTGTAGTTTCAGGGATTTACTGGATCTACTGCTGATCCTAGATTCTCAAAGAAACCTTCCATCTCCCACCAGCCTATGATCTTACTCCCCCATGTGTCTTGTTACAGTCTTCTCTACCGACTTCATCCTTTACCCTGTGATGATATAATAGCATCGCTAGGACCACCCCCAAAAATGACTTGAAAATGAGAGCACAGCGGGAGATTTGATGCAAAAAGGCCCTTCACCGGCACGTTCTCCATTCGCAGTCCAACTGAGCACTAGCTGAATCACTCCACACACTTTCTGAGGCCGGACCTGTCATTAGAAGGTATTTGCCTTGCGGCCGAGTTGAGGCTGGTTCAGAGGTTATCAGGCTCAGCTGGAAGTGGGGGACACGCTGCTTTTACAGGCACCCATCACCAGAAGCCGAGCACTACCAGCGGTTACTAAGTGCATACAAAACACATTCAAACATTAACTAGTGCGATACTCTCACAAACCAGAGGGAAGAGGTCACAGGAACTGACCTGTTTTACAAGGCTATGCTCAATTTGCTGACCTGGAACAGCTTTTAACTAGGCATTTCCATGCTCTTAAAACAAACGGGGAAATATTATCCTTTCACATAAGTAAGAGATTTGTGGAAAAGGTTTCTGACAAAATACACCAGAACAAAACCCTGGAATCCGTGAGGTGCTTAAGGAGAAATTATTCATGTATGCCTTTCAAACGTGGCACGGAGCCTAAAATGGCTGAGGTATTGGCATTTCTGTTCTTTGGGCTTTCCTAGGAAAACAGAAACTACAGTCAAAAAACACAGTTGGAACCACTTCGCTCCAGCCACCATGTTACAGTTGTGTCCCGTGCAGGCTCCCACAACTTGCTGGGTTCCAACTGCTGAGCATGACTGAACTAACAGACAGAAAGTCTTATTCGTAGGAGGCTGCTCACAAGGGAACGAAGATAAATACAAAGATGCAGTAACGGGATCTAAGCAAACAGCACAGGCACACTCAAACACCTAGTTCAAACAGTAACAGCACATTCTGACCTGCTTCAAGGGAAGACCTAATTCCTTTAATGGATTAACTCCTACACCCTCCAAGTCATTCTGCCTGTCACATCCCAGGCAGATTCTTGCCAAATGCTTACCAAACATGCAAATTTGTGGCTTTTGGTTGATGCTAATAATGCTCCTTAGTTAGCAGGAACATTATCAGTGTCTTCTCATGACCTGCATTCTATCTGCCTCCAAAATTAAAAAAATATATATAATAATCTTATCCCCACAGAGTAATTCTAGAAGCTGAAGAACTACCAACCAGTCCTTCTGTCATGTAAAAAGGCTATCCATATTTATTTCCCTGGGAAAATCCACTAGACAGAGGCAATGTATTATACCATTATAAAGAAACTTGCAGTCCCGTAATACTCAAAGAGAGCAAAGCCTGATATCATTGGAAATGAAGAGCGTTACAGATTGCACCATCCTTAATCCATTTTAGGCAGCAGAATAAAGGCCTAAAGCCACCAGCCTTCAAAGCAGCAACTATTTGGTTGCTTTGCAAGAAGAGGCTGAATCATGCAATGCAGCCACTGAGGTGGGCAGCAGTGTACAAACAAAGCACGGCTGGGCTCCTGGAAGATGCCTGGACTCAGCACGACCTCCATCAAACAGAAGTCCTGAAGAGTTACGACAATAAAATAAAGTAGTTTAACCACAAAGCAACCCTGAGGGAGCACAGCATCTGCTCTTCCATGTACTGGAATCTCCACCAGGCTCTATCAAGGACTCAATCCACCTCAGACCACAGACAGAGGCAAAGAAGTAGGTTCCTGAACCGCAGGTGAAACTTGCCAGAAGAGTGCCAGAGGCTTGACATCTCTGGTCACTGAATACATTTAACACCGGTTTTACCTCAGAATAAGAAAAACAGAAAAGTACCCGTCCAAGAAGACAAATAACAGTAACAAAAGACCCCGATGAGAAGAGGTGGACTGACAGCCCCAGGGACCCAAGTCCTCTCTCTGCTGGTAAATCAAGCACATTCAGCTCCTTGCCTTTCCTTTGCCCAGGAAATACAGAGGTCAGCATGGGGTTCAGATGTGAAGAATTGTTTTACAGACAACTGTTAGTCAAGCACAATTCCAGTGATTCCAAAACCAGTTAACAAACGATACCTGAAGGAATGAAGAACGTATAGCCTTGCTTCAGCTCAATTCTTTGGCATCTTTCCACCCTGTCTCCCAGAAAGATATCACTTTGCTTTCCTGAGAGCACCCATTCTTCATAAAGTTCTAGATTCTGCAGAGTAGGCGGAATCAGCCAGAAGATCTAAAAATAAAGCAACGATTTAACTATTACCAACAATCAACAAAAACACGCAACTGAAAAATTCCGAGGAGTTTATCGTGTGTTAGGGGAATGAATGCATAGCACCCAGCCTGCTTTCTGCATAAAAAACGTGATTTCCAGGTACTGTACATAGAAATCCAGAGCAGACAGCAGCAGCAATTAGTACAGGGGCTGGAAACGTCAAGGTAACTGTCAGTTGTCATCTCTCTTCCGTGAAGCATCTTATTCAAAAGCTGCCTGCACAGTTTACGTTCAGTTCAAAACAATGTGTTGGCATAGCACAACTTCACTGTACACAGATGACCAGTGCCTGTACCACAAAGATGTTCAATCTGCTGTATTTCCTTCACTGCCCACCATATGCTGTCTACACTAGAATGAGGAAAAAGCAACCTAAAATAGCAAAGATGTGAACGTAGCCACACACATTGTATATTCTATCATTTCTGTATTCTCCAATATTTCAGGCCGGGTGTGCACACTAAAGGAACACAGAATCTCTAATAGGAAACTGAAAAGCTCTAGCTACAGAAGGAGACTTATGAGGGCACTCTGACCCAACAAGGGTACACACAGCCATGTACTCACTGCAAGACGCCTCTAAACCATGCAGCAATAACAAGCATAAAACCACCAAGGAATAACACATGAGATATTTCAAATAAAGCACTTGCTTGCTTCATAAAGGTGAATGGTGTCCTTCTAGTTCAGCACACTCCATGTACATCAACAAAGGTAAACGAAATAGACTGCTAACTGACTAGCCAAAAAAAAAAAAAAGTGAAAAATGAAAGAAAGCAACCCCATCCCTCCACAACAGGCACAGAGGATTAACAATAGATTTCAGACAAGGTTCACCTACCTTCCCCCCACGGAAAACGTGATACCACACTGAAGTGCCACCAAAATCAATATGAAAATCAGTGAAGCATCCTTTCACACTCATCAAACAGTACCTGAAAACAGAGCAAAGGACAAAAATGAATCAGTCTGAAACAGTATTTTTCATGCCTTAATTTGCAGAGGTAACATGTGTGATACTGTTTCCATCCACTCAAGTTTTTGCATTTATAGTACAGTGCTTTTTTTGTCTCAAAGTAACTATAATTAGGTTTCTGCTGAAAAACGTGCATCTTGAAGTTTGAGTCTGCTGCTCATACAACTAGAAAGAAAGCTTTCAGAGTTAAGGAATGGAAAAATAATAAAAGTTATGTTGTTCAGAAATATTTCTGATGCCACTGCCTATCCCTGGGGTGATCTCTTTAATGCTCTCCTTCGCCCTGAGACACAACCTTCAGCAAAAGTTGTACACAAATAGCTTCAAAGAGCAAAGTTTTGAAAAATCTAATTTGCTTATAAATCCTCCCACACGTTTAATTACCTACTTGCCACTAATGCCATTTCCGCAAGGACCTGGGGACAGAAACCTCATTTGGCAGATTAACTCCTTTTTGTTCACATTTCTAGGCATTTCTGCATCAAAAGGCATAAAGGAACCAGCTGGCAGCAGCGCTGAGTATTATCAAATCCTCTATTTTTTTATGCCGTCTTGATTCAGGTTTTCAGAGCGGTTTAAAGTCGACATCACTGGCAAGATACACACGAGCGCTCATCTCGCTGCACGAATCTCAAGCCTCCAGCCACCATCTGTAACTAATGGCCGAAACACAGCCGCCCTTCTCACTATAGGCACCTTTGCAAACGCAGGAAACACACACCACTTAACCCACTAACCTCTTTTCCTTGTTCCGGTCTCCGTTTCATGGCTTTTTTTTTTTATTATTGTTATTATTATTAGGCTGTTGGTTGTTTTTTGTTGTTTTTTTTTTTTTTTTTTGGTTACGGAAACAGTACCAGAAGGGGAGTTGGAGGAAAAAAATAAAAAGGAGAAAGAAAACAGGTTTCGTTTAACTGTGTCTTTTTCTCATCACAGTCAGGTAGGGAGAATCTCGGCAGTATGCAGGCGGCGTGCAGAAGTCCCTCTAGATGATAGGCTGGAAAGGACCTTACCATGTGTCTGCGGGAGGCTGGCAAATCAGCGCGGCGGTGGGCACATAAGAGCCCGCTGCTAAGCAACCACATCCCGAGCCCAGCTGACGGACCCGTGCGCAATGCTGTCATGAAGACGGTCGATTTGCGGGCTTCGAAAGGTCCTGCGCCTCCGTCTCGCAATTAAAGCCTCTCCTGGCGCAATTACGCCGCTCGCCCCTCGCCCGCTCTGGAATCCGTCCTCCTGCAGGAGCAGGAAGAGAGCTTTTTCCGCCCCTGGGGTATTTCAGATGCTTCAAAAATCACAGCCAGCCAAGAAGCTGTCTAGACTCTCAATATGCTCCATTTCAAAATATGAGTCCTTCCCTCCCAAATACATTTTTTTATTTATTTATTTCTCCTTTTATGTTTTTTTTCTCTACCAAGATGTTGTTGATTACAAGTCAGACAGAAATTAAAAACAATAAAAGGAGCCCGGAAAGGAAGTTGGTTTTCTTCGAGCCAAGCTGCAAAAAGTCACAGATTGAATAATTGCTAATAAAACAAAAAACAACATGGAAATTCGCAGTCTGCGGGCAGCGCTGAGAACCATTGTTTTTCAGTAAAAATTAAAATCCTGATGGAATCAATTATTGTCAGTTTGCAAAAGGTCAGATGTAAAATTCATCACATTAACAACAATTTTCTAAGCCTGGGCTACCTACCTACAATTGCCCGCTGACACGAGGCGTTCTAAAAGGCGAAAATGGCCTTGCACCAGCCAGATTTTAGTCCTCAACAGCCAATAAAAGAAAGCTGAAGCTGTTGATCTGTTTGTATTCAAAGAGAAAATAGTGGGATTTATCCTACCATCACATCCAAGAGTTTAAAAATTAGTTTTGTGAGAAAACACCATGGCAGAGAGAACGGTGAACACGCAACTTCTTGTTGTTATTTTCTTGAAACTCCTCTAAGCGCAATTTCCACCCCAATAAAGGTGGGCTCAGTGTAAGAGCCACACATGGTGGTTAACAAAAACCTACAAAGCATTTGGACAGCAAACAGTTTTCCTTTCCATCCGCAAACGAGCCATTCCACGTTTAATTTCTGCTGTTCATCGAACAGGGCTGCTTTTGTCCAGCCCCAAGGAGCTAACGAAGGGCTGGGGAGCCTGAAAAGCGATCTTCCGCCATCCAGCAACGTCCCTCGTTGCCAGAGCCTGGCACAATGCCTTTGCATTGACCTCTACAGCTTCCTCTTCAATGTACACCGCAGTCACATGGGCCCCGCGCAGCTCCACGCCACGGCTAATCTTACACCGCTCCACTCTAACCTCAGCGAGCGGTTTCTCATCGCTTAACAGCTGCTAATTCGGGGAACGGCTCAACTTTTCAGGTTTTCCCCCTCACACACGCCCGCCCAAAAAGAAAAAAAAAAAAAAGGAAAGAAAAGAAAAAAAAAAAAAAAAAAAAGAGCCATCACACAGCATCCATGTTGAAAGAAATCTGGAAACTACATCCCGCTGCGCGCCTCCAGGTTGCAGCTTCAGCGCCCTGGGCCGGAGCAGGTAACGTGGGTGAGAGGAGCACAGCCCCAGGCGGCACTCGGGCAGAGCAGCTTGCCAGATGTACACCCTGAAAGCACAGGCGATGCAAAAGGATGCCCCAACTTTAATTTTCCTCACCACATCCAGCCCCTGCACGCTCCACTTTTATCTCCCTGCATAGCATCAGTTCAGGTTTTAAAATATGCAGCTGCTTGTAATCTCTTGGGGGGTGGGGGGGGGAGCTTCCCTTCCCCACTGAAGAGTTTGTTTTATGCTCTCCACCAGCCTGGAATCGTTCAGGTTAACGTCCTGTTATTTTGGAGGAAGGATTTGTGGTGCGAGGGAAAAGGGAGCTTTCCCCCCAAAACCTGGGAGGATTTGTTAGTTAGCGAAACGGTGCGAAGGAACATGGAGTAACCTGCGAGTTCACAGGGAAGAACAACCACAGAGACCCCCCGAAAGAGCTGAGGGGGATGCTGCAAGCGAGGACAAACCGCTGAGCGAACACGGGGAGCAGCTGGGCACGCAGGAACAAGGCAGAGGCAGCGCTCCGGGAGCGAGCGCGGCCACCGCACTCCCAGGCAAACCCACAATGCACTCGCCACACAGAGCTCCGAACCCGCAAGCAAACAGAGAAACAAAGACAGCAGCAGACACGCCGGGATGCGGACGCGCACAGGCGCAGGCACACGCGCAGGCAGGGAAATGCAAAGGCGCAAGGCACATGCACATGAACTCGGGGGAGACGCGTGAGCACACGCGGAGGCAGCATTACCCTGAGCTGAGCTCCTTGTCTCTCGCAAGAGGCACAGCGCACCATACGGCTCTATTCCCTCTGGCATTGCGAGGGCTCCCCTGCCACTGAGCTCAGCCCATAAACCACTCCCAAACCCCAGCAGAGGCTTCTGTTTTTTGTTCGGGCCAATGAGAAAAGTATAGCTCACTCTTCCTTCCTCCCAGGAGCAGCGCCGGCTGGTTGAAATCCCTAAGCCTGAAACCGAATACCGCACACCCATGAGCCAGCTGCAAGTGCCAAAGCGGGGGAGAAGGAGCAGGCCCCGCTCCTAACGGGCCTGACCCCCCCCACCATGAGCAGCAGCAGCAGCGCTCCCACACAGGGGCCCCGTAACCGAAAGCCACAAATTACGCCGCCAGACAAAAGAAACCATTGTCACCCGGGAGACACCGCTGCTGGCCGGCCTGCAACGCCCCCAGCCCCACAGGGCCCCCGCTCGGCCTCCTCAGCCTGGGGCTCCCCTCAGCAGGGAAGGCCCAAAGGGCTCCGGCCTCCCCTCACCTCATGGCCGCGGCCTCCCCTCACCTCACGGCCACAGCTTCCCCTCACGGAAGGGGGCCCTGGTGTCCCCTCATGGCGGGCACCCACCTGCAGCCGCTCTCCCCAGGGCCCAGCGAAGCCCCACAGCCCTGTTCCCCCCTCAGCGAGCCGCTCCTCCAGCCTGAGGTGCGAGCAAAGCAGCACCTATCAAGATCAAGTAGTAACTAATCATTAAGCTGGGTGCGTGCGCCAGGCACTTCAAAAAGCACATAAAAGAGCCGGTTCCTGCCCTGAGGGGGGTTACGATCTGAGTCAGCCAGACAAAAACAACACCCCAGATAAGAGCAAGCCGATTTTCTGCCATTCACCTCAGCCTGCACCAGAGATTTTGTGAAGCGGTGGCACCATCCTCATCCCACCCTCACCCCATTCCCAACCAAGGTGTCAGTAATACCCCAAGCCCTGGTGAAATACCAAGCCCTGGAGCGCTCACGATCCCCGCGTGCCTCCCGCCGCATGCGGGGACTTCGCAGGGAAGGAGTTATTTACATTCCAGCCATCAGATTTTGGCACGAGCAGCCCGCAGAGAGGAACAGCAGAACTGCACCCAGCTACCATTTCAGGCTGCCTGCAAACCTCGCCGCTACAGCTCGTGTCCAGCTAATGCTGGGAAGGTTACCTTTGAACTTTAAGATCCGAGAGGCCTCTCTTTTAATTGGAAGCTTACATTTCTGAGGAGGCAGTGGCGGGTGCAAGGAGACGAACCAACCTGCCGATTTGCCGCAGACCTGGCCTGGCTGCCCTGTGAGCACGTGGAGCTGGAGCAGCCTTCTGGTGCCTGTGCAAATGCAACTCATTTCTCCATCTTTGTGATATGGCTGCTCAGCTTCAGCTTCACCACAAGCGATTCTCAACGCCAGCATTTATTTCAGTTATATGCATGACACTGCAAGTCCTCCAAGCTGGACTTGCTCCTTGATCCTCTAAGAGGATCCCAGGCTAATGCATCGACTTGAAGACGTTAAATTCTGTTTACTTTGCTAGCTTAAAAAGTTTGACTGAGAACTTGTGCTTACTGGCCCAATTTTCTTGTCCTTAATTACATCTGTAGAGCAGTTTTCTATCCAAAGCTATTCAAAAATGGCACACAAAGTGCATGTGAGTATCACAAATGCTTAAACCAGTGCCAGGTTGCGCTGCAGGACCTGCAAACTCCCTCAAATCAAAGGGCAATTTCTGTCTCCAGAGGCACACCCTCAGCTTCCAACTAGACCACAGTTTGAAAAGCATTTTAGCATCTGCTTAAATCCATTCCTGCTCAGTAAAGAGATGAATAGAAAGGAATGGATGAGTGAATAACAGCCTGGCAGAGGAAGAAACAGCTAACACGGAGTATATAGTATCAGAGCAGCACCCTTCTGTGAACAGGTGGATGTTGCATGTAAAATAGCCCATCCTTAATTGAAGGATAACAGCGATACAAAAGACCTATTACAGCAGTGCTTCGGTATTTTAATAGGAAGAATTCTGAAGGCAAAAAGCATGCTGCAGGGGCTGAGGGTTTCATCCTCATTTGCTCCCCAGTGCAAACTTTATCAAGTTTTCAGAAATGCCTGTTACTGTTTCTATAGCTGTGGTGTCCTGGCACAGTTGCTATTTGACTGCAGCTGCTGTGCAAACAGGCTTCCTCATCTCAGCAGCACTGAGCAGCTCTCTGCTCCCCAACATCTCTCTCATGGCCCTGCACCTCGCGCAAGCTGCAGAAGGGCTTTGCCCATGATCCCACTGCTATGATTTTTTCACACTTCTGCACTGCCCTCCGGTTGGCACAAGCATTTATGCAGCCATGTGGTGGTTAGCATGGCCTGAAAACTAACCAATTTTTCTTTATTTCTGAGTCAGTTTGCAGCCAGACCAGTCCCCAGTCCAGTTTACTTTGCAGCTGCACAACGGCATGTTCTAGCGATGAGGATGGGATGATGTGGGCACAGGACTGTTTTTTTTTCAGGGACAATGCCAACTTCTATCAGTTTGAAGTTTGTCACATTGCAGTCTCAGCTGGCCAGCCCCCTGATTTCTCCTGTTGTCTTATTGCTTAAAAGGTAGTACTTTGAAAGTTTTACATATTTTCAACATAAACTCTTGCCCCACTTAATTCAGTCCTCTAAGGCTCTCGTTAGGAAAGTAGTCATTTACTTACAGATAGAAGTATAACCTTATTACCCTGATTTTTTATTTATTTATTTTTAAAGTTAATGGTGCAAGTCCAAGTGAAAGCCAGGGCGGTCTCCAGCGCTTGTAGTGCTCCTAGTAACTGAAGCAGCGCAGCAGATGGAGCGTTCTCTAACTTCACTCCCAGCACGGAACTCGACGTGCAGGAGCCAAGACAGACATTTGTGTCTGGTAATGCCATCTGTGTCTGCAAAACCGCAACGCGCTCGCTGGAGTGCTTTTTGTTTGTAGGGAACACGTTAATGGTGGGTATCGCATACTGCAAACTCCTGGTATTATGAGCACGCTTAAAACAAGAATGAAATAAAACAATCCGATTCCTAAGCAACAACAGTCCGTATTAAAGAATATGAATATCGGTGATTCACAGAAAAAGAATGGGTCACGTGAAGCAAGTGACAGCACTGACATTTAGCTCCATGATTGAACACAATCTCTTTAATAAGGGCTCGTGCCCTCTGGGTACTCCCAGCAATAGTTGGGACTGGTATCCATACAGAAAAGGGTCAATCTGAATTTCCAGGGATGGAGAAAGCTAATCTCTGGAGGAGTTCATATTTAAACTGGGCAAGTTCATGGAAGAGAAATCTCTTGAGTAACTGAGCACACAGAAACCACTTCCACCTCAGAAAGGCCCTGCCTGAACTGCACACAGTGGAAGTTCAGAAGTCTACTGAAGGGCAGCACCATTTTATGCTCACACTGTTCTCACACTTGTCTCAGAGCAGCTACAACAGCGTGCAGCAGCAGAGAGGTTACTGAGCTCCAAGCATCTTTGTCCCGATCCAGGACAACTACTTTCATGTTCCTGGGCTATCAATGTTTGTTTTTAATTTTATCTTTAATGCTTCTTCAAACCAATGAGAGTTTTGTGCCACCAGTGCTGGAAATCATCTCTCTAGCCTTTCTGCTAGATGATGCTAGTAATCGTCATCTAGCATCATCCTCATACACCCTCACTCCAGCTGCATCACCCTTGCCTTTAATCCTCACGCACAGTAACTCCTTTTACCCACAACAAACTGTTTTCACATTTCAAGCACTTAGTCTTTCACTGATTAGCTTCCCTTTACCTATCCCATCTACTAGTTTATCAAGCTGTCAACCTCCACCTTCACTTTGCCAGTTGACAGCAACCTCAATGGCTATGTGTCTGCTTCTTTATCAGCCATCCCTTCCTTTCTACTAGGCCATCCCCCACAAATGGGAAAAGCTCCATGTCAGAATCTGTTGAATTGCTACTTCTCTAAAATCCCTCTTTGAAACCTACCATCTGGCATTTCATGATGCAAGTAGTGAACTGCAAGAATATACTCTGCTTTTTCTGCTAAATTCTGTTAGTCATGTTGTTACCTTATCCTTTAAAGCATTTCTGCCTTGTTTTGTTTACTTGCTGCATTTTTATTTTCAGCATCTGGAGAATGCCTGTACTAGGAAAGGGACAGTTTTCCTTACTTCTTACCTTGTACAGCCCAGGAATCCTGAAGCCCTGAATCTTAGTTTTAGCTTATTATAAACAAAGCATGTTATTTAGTAGACTAACCACTTGGGAAGCAAGTTGCCTGGGTTCTATTTCTGCTCTGACACTGACTGATCGTGTGACCTTAGGCAAGTCACTTAGGACATTTCTAAATGCACGCATGAAATTTGGCACTTCCATCCCTATCTGGTTACCCTAACAAGCAGTTTACTTTTTCAGGATAGAGCAGCTTTGACTTCCACCAAAATCGGTGGTGCTGAGCACATTACAGGACAGGGCTTCCCTCCAGTGCTTGCCACAAAGCCCCTTCTGTTATGGAGACCTGCACCTTCCAGAACATGTATTTTTAGAATAAGAGACTAAATGCTGCGTATCACTTTGTGACTGCACACTCTTTTGTATATGTTGGTATCAATCTATTTTAGACATTACAGTTTGGAAACAGTTCTAAGCGGTTTGCAAAACACGAGAGGTCGGTTCAACAACAGAGCCTGGGATGCTGCCAGCATTAGGTCTGGCCAATAGAAAATGCGTCTAAACCAGAAACAGCACTGAAGGCAGCTTAGGGCTTCCAGGATTAAATGCTGTTCATTGGCCATACAGGTCAACAGCTATTATATTATTAGCAGCAACCCCTACTTCCCCTACAACCCCTGTGAATGGGGGTGACAAAGCTGGGGGGAGATCCACACCTATTAAAAATGGACTGCAAGGTCATTTTGCGAAACATCTCTCAGCTAATAACTTTTCAGCCATTAGTAATTTAGAACCTGGGAAGGATCTGAACCCAGTCCACAGAGGAAGGACTTTGAATTATATTGTGCGAGTTGTATGGCACATCTGTATCCTGTGAAATGATATCTTTAGGGAGCACTTTTAGAGAATAAAACATAACAGTGCAGTTGGAAGGGACCTTTGTAGATCATCCTGTACGTCTGCCTGGCCACCTTAGGGCTAAACAAAAGCTAAAGCATACTATTAAGGGCATTATCCAAAGGCCTCTTGAACACTGACAGGCATGGGGCACCAACCACCTCACTAGGAAGCCTGTTGCAGTGTTTGACCACCCCTCACATCAATATTATTTCAGATCAGAGATAGCCTGCCATTTCAGAACAATTGATCAAAACTGAGAAATAAAGAAATAAAGGCACTTTTTGAAGGGATTTGGTTAAAATGCATTAAAACCATAGATTTCTTCTCAATTAAAAATATTTAGATTAAAATGTGTTGAGAACTTTTAACATTAATACAGAGAAAAAATAGAATATTCTGTTCCTAAAGAACTTCACCACAGGCTTTAAGAACATGATGTATCCATTATAAAGTTCTCAAATACAAAATTGTTCTCCTTCAAAGCTTGGAGCAGTCTATCAGTATTACACAGCTCAAGCAGGTCAACCATATCAATCCCCCTTCCTGCTCACTGAAAAAAATAAATAAATCATTATTTCCTCTCCTACCAGCTTTTAAGTTCAAAAGGAATTAAACAAGGAGGTCAAGAGGAAAGTATTTCAAAGACTTAAAAAAAACTTACTTTTTCACTTTGGGGTATTTCATCTCTGAAATAGCATTGGTAGCATCCGTCTGTCTCTCCTTCAAATGCTGTGGCCACATATTATCCACCCAGTCGACTAAGTCCACCTGAAAGTGCCACCAAAATCAAGTGTTAGTCACTGAGCATGTGGTAGGATTTACTCCTGTTGGCTAAACCTCTAACAGCAACAGCAGCAGATCAGCAGCTGGCAGATGCTCACAGACAGTGAGAACCTCACCATTGCAGTGAGAGTCCTTGGGACCCAACTTGTTTGGGAGCAGTAGTTCATCCCTGCAACTCAGCCCTGTGCAGCCCAGATTAAGGAGGGCTTTACCACTGATCTAACTGGGTGTTAAGTTTGGCCTCTGGGCACCTGTGAGCATCATAACCTCTTTCAGCATCACCTGTTGTCTGTTTTCAAATACATTTTTGTAGCCAGTATCCTAGAAACTGCATTTGTGAACTTTAAAATATAAACAGAAAAGAGATTGCATTACTCTGATGCCTTACATTTCAAGGAATATTAACCCCATTGTTTTGGACATTCTGATTTGGATAATTACATTATTGCCTACCACGCATCTCCTTCATTGTTCTACCTTGGAATAAAATTCATCAAAGTTCTTGTCCAAGAGCCAAACTTTTAGGAAGGAAAACAGTGAATGCTGAGCAGTGAGAAAGACATTGCCAGCAAGATGAAGAGGAGATGGAAACTGAAGATTGTTCAGGGACACTGCAACAAATCTTCTTTGGATGCCAGAGCACGAACTGCTCGCTCTGTCCATCGCAGCCACAGCAAGGACAAGCCCATGACTCATTCTTTGGTCTGTTTAACGATGGAGCCTGTGCTGGGTATCCATAACACTCCCTTCTGATTATGCAAGTGGATCACGTGCAGGTTTCAAAACGGGAAACTCGAGTGAAGTAGGGAAGTCCAGCCAGGCAGGTGCAGTGCTGCATTTGGCCACAGCGTGGCTGCACATCCTGAACCAGCTCCAAAACTTTAGATGAGCGAATGAATCTCCCTGTGTGGGTCAACAAGGATGCAAGTCCTATCCTAAGTGTTGGTCACAAAGCCGTCCTCTGCCTGTGTGCAGCAAGAACTGAGAGGTCTAATTCAGTCATGGGCAACACCTGACTTAGCATCCTGACTGCTCGGTCTTTTAAAAGGCCCAAAATATCACAAGAATGCTGTTTGTAAGAGCCAGCCCAACAGCTTGTATCCCCAGAGCATTTTCATGATACTGCAGCCAGCGTGGTAAATTCTTGCAGGCTGGAGTTGGCTTTCAGCTATTTGTCCATCTGCACCTGGTACTGCTGATAACAGACAGTACTTTGTGAAGAGGCAAGGGGAGACCGTGCTGCCAGTGGAAGTAGTACCAATTCCATTAATATCACGGCTGTACGTGAAAACAAAATTGATGGGTACTGCCCAGATTCTGAAGTAATTCCCACATCCTGAACTGCAGCCCACAGTCCTTTACACAATAGGGAACATGAATCAAGTATTTCTGCCTTACGTGGGCTGAAAGAGCCCTGCAGCATTCAAGGGATCCACTCCTACCAAGGTAGTATTTGGTTAGTATCTGACTTGGTGTACCGAGCTTCTCACAGCCCCCAATACCCTCTCTTCTATCGCTCACTTCAGTGCCTAACAGAGATGCAAGATCCAAATATCGCTGCTTTTACAAACCACTGTGCACCCAGGCTATATTAAATAGACATGAAATATTCATTTCCACGCGGTAACAGGTACCTAACTGCATTTTTCAGTCCTGAACACCCAGAAAATTTACACAGATGTTCTAAAAGCTCAGTGAGCATGATGTGCTTGGAAAAACTAGGATCAGCTCAACACCATAAACTCCCCAGAGCACCTCCAAACTGCCTGCTGGTGTCTGAATGACAACAAAAACCTGCCCAAACTTCTAAATATGTTCTTAATATTCAAGTTGTGATATGTGCGTAACAGAACACAAAAGCCTACTTAAGAATTACATCCAGAAATCAGTGATTAGAGCGGCCATCTATTTGTGACTTGTTCAGGCATAAGTGTGGTGTTTGTATTGTTTGCATAGGCAAGAGATGTCCCCAGTGAAAAAAAAAACTGCTGGTGTAACTAGAACAGCATTTAGAAATGAGAAAAGTGTTTGAAAATAAAGCATCATAGAGCTACAGTTTCAAACCCAGCAGCACCTTGATCATCCAGTACTAGGAACAGATTGAAAGGGAAGGAGCAGCACTCATTCTGCTTTGAGAAGTTGCTTTGTCCTCTGAACAACCAGGACTGATATCCAAATTCTCTGCCAAGTGTCCTGAGAAGACACTTTGAAACCTCCAACGCCAATTCCTCTGCTGCATCACTGTGTACTACTGAGCTGACACTCTCATCCTCACCCACACATGGCCATGTTTTAGTGATAAATTAAATGATCTTATTAATAAAGATCATGGTGTCACTGCCGGTGACTCCATCGGGTAATAAAGTCACAAGAGCCCTCCATCTTTCTAAAATGCACACAAATAAATGTGAAATATAAAGATAGGAATTAAAAAAAAAAAAGTTCTACTGTTATTTTGGATTAGGCTACCTTTACACATGAACACCAAAAGACAATAGACAGGTATTTAATTTTGCAATTCCCCCTAAATACCTCCAGAAGAACTACGTATCTGTACAAATTGCATGATTAAGAGCTCACCAGGTACCTAATTCATGTAATTTAAGTTCCACTGTCAAGGAGACCGGCTTTCTACTTAGGTAAAAGCGCAATTCTGAATGGGCAAGAGTTGCAGGTGCTTCATCTCACTTTGTCTGAAGTGCTCATCCCACAACTCCACGCTTTATTTCTCACAAAGCAACTGGTGACTGGGAAGAAGCTGAAAACAAACACTGTCCCCACAGGATCCCTTACCACATTGGGGCGCTTGACGATGTTCTCTAGCTTCGTGTGACTGAACTCCAGGCTGATGACGTTGTAGAGTTTTTCACGCTGGGCCTCTGGTGTTTCGTAGTACCTCACAAATTGAGACATGCTCATTTCGACACCTTTCTGTGTGTTCACATCCATCACATCCACTATCCGTCGGCTTCCTGCAAACAGACAGAAACACTCCTGAACATTTGTCTTTGCTTCGCTTTCAATGGGTAAATTCTCAACAACTGCAGGGCAACTGCTATTAGAGGACAAGAGACCAGCATCAGACCCTCCACAAGTCCTGAGCAGCTCAAATGGTCAGCAGGGAACTAACCTGGAACTGGGCTGCGTGCCGAGTATGACACTGAGCAAGTCACCTGGTGAGTCTGCTTCGGAGAGGTGGAGAGAGTAGTTCCCTCCTTTACATAGATGGCACGAGCAGAAGTACATTAAAATCTATGAAGAACTGATATAAAATGGTAGCAGGGGGCATGCAAGACAAACGGCTCTCCAAATCATACTCCGCAATTTTCTAAACATCCATATGCCTCTCAAGATGCTTTTGCTCGTGTACAAAAATTATCCATAAAGAGCAAACTACCTTGCATAACTGGATGCTATCAACTGCTGAACACCTCATACAGATTGCCGAATATTCTGGATCCAGTTGGTGGTGGTGGAGTTGAAAGCAGTAAATGCCCTGCATGAGGGAGCCCCCACTTTGGATCTCCAACCAAAAACTACAGGACATCCTTCCAGCTTCTCGAGTGGCAGACAGACAAGCCTCATTAGCACCAGAATGTTGAACAGCAGTTTTAGGCGAGCCTTCAGCTTTACACAGATTAATCCACAATCTTCTCTTCGGCCAACTGGAAGGTTTCACCTCTCCCAGAAATTTAACTAGCAGTTCATTCACGTGTGAGCAAAAGGCAGCCTATGAGAGACCTGCCTCAGTTCCAGGAGAGGATTCCAGCAAACAAACTCCTGACACTTCCAAAAAAAATCACTCCAAACCAATTTTCATTGCTGAAGAAATAACTCTAAATAAATAATGTTAACACAAAATGGGGGAGGGGGGCTACATTATGCCATCAGAGGGAATTATTAACAGTTACAGCACCTGGCCTATTGTGTGCTTGGGAACAGTATTTCAGCAAGAATGATAGCTTGGATTTCATCACTCCATTAACCATCCTTAGCCACTGATAGCAATGACAGTGACAGATGCGATAACGATTCTGGAAAGGAACTCAAGACCATAAAGCTTTGTAATCAAAAAAAATATATATATACAGCGTAAATCTGGAAGAGCCCCACTGGCCTGTCACTCAAACTGTGCTGCAACACTGCTGCAACAGGAGTTGATTCCTCGGTCTGAGCTCAGGACTGTACCTAGTGTTGCCACCTTGAGGCAGGATGGGGAGAAAGTTCTGTTATGTCTGAAAAAGCAGAATCCTTATAGTCGGTATTCGTGTGTTTGAAACAAGGCACATTAAATCTAGCTTTTGTTTGTTTGCTTTTTTTTTTTTTAACTGCTAGTTTTACTACCTAGGGAGAAGGTCTGTTTTCTACTCAACAATTATCAACTGCAGCAAAGCCCTGTTAAACAGTCCCGGAATTAGACACTGCCTGATTTGTCGCTTCCATGGCTAGGGGATTAAAGCAGGGGCTACAGCCCAGAGGGGTTAAGCACACTGGTACTGAAAAATTGTATTTGAAGGGCTGTGAGTCTGGGATCTGCCACGGTACTGTGTAGGTTTGATCTCAGCCTTGCTGGAGACGACCTTGTACAGCCTCTCAATTATCCTTTCTGAAAGAAAAATCAGCAGTTACCTGATGAATTAAAAATACGGGGCCCAGTTCAATAACAGGTTTGTTAAACACGCCCGATTATCAATTACGAGCAGAAGAGCTAAGGTTTGAATTGGAAGTCTCTTGACTTCTGAATTAAAGAGCAATTTGAAGGGATGTTTTTCTCTTAAGCCGCAGTACTATCAAACAAGCCCGTGCATAATGAGTCCTGGAGCACCGCTTGCAAAATCTGAGACCTGTAATTACAGGTTAACAACCTCATGCTCACTGCCCACTTCCCAGCACTTCTGGCTTACCGCCAGCTTTTTCTCTCCTGAAAATATTCAGACGTTTCTATTTCTTCTATTTTCTACCCCTAGGAGAAGGTTAAATATCACCCAGAAGGGGAGGCAGGTGAAGAACGAGGGAAAGGAGCGCACAGAGGCTGCGAGATCTCAGTTCAGGCTGGATTTCTGACAGTCTGCACGCATTTTACATGATGCACCATCTCTGTTAGCCATTTCCCAGATATTCTGACTACACCAAGCCTGATGCTGCCCATGGAGTCCCAGCAGCTCAGTGACCCTGGCAGCCTCTTGCCCTCACAGGGGCTGTATTCCTCGCCTCAGCACACGCACACGGATCTGCAGCTGGCAAAGGGCACCTCTTGCTGCTGCCACGGAAAGCTCCAGCGCATCACCAACCCCATCCTTGGCTCTCCAGGGTTTTTCTTGGCTGTGGAGGGTCCGGATGGTGTGGGATTAAGGGGTGGCAGTTCCTCCGCTGCAGCTGATGTGATTCAGAGTTGAAGTGGCGATGCCAGGGTTCACTAGAGTGGATTTGCTGCCTAAAGAAGAAACATCTTCCTCCCCTGAAGCAGCTTACTCATCAAGCACAAGTGAATCCCAAAGGATCACAGCCAGTAACCAAGAGACAAGCTAGGTGCCATCTTTGACAAGAGGCACAGACAAAAGCAGGAAGAATCTGTTGCAGAGGTGCAAGCTGGGAAGTAAAATCAATTGGGCAGAGCTACTCTAGAACTAGGTTTCATCAATTATTTTAACCCTTCGTGATAGAATTGATTAAGGGATGCCGTTTGGTGTCTACAACCAGGAGCCAAACTTGAACAATAAGGGACAGAGCCCTAGGAAATCTGAAAGCTTTACTAGCTTGGGAGGGATGGGAAGCTGAGCAGGGAGCCCTTGCTCGAATGGAGCTATTAATGGCCTTCACCACGTTTCAGAACCAGCATAAACACAGTTTAAGTTAAAAGAAACACGTACCACAGCTCTGAGATCCACCAGAGGGCACAGAAGAACAAAGGGAAATAAGGGTTCAGCTCAGAGGCCTGCACGTGGCTGCCCTGCACCCCCAGCTCAGTCCTCCCACCCAGCGCACCCCGTGAGGGCTCAGGACACCACGCTTTAGAGAGATTTAATTTTTATTTTAACATTCATTCAAAGCGGATTTACTGCTGTTTATATCTGGACACAAACAGGACTGTTTTTAGCAAAACTATCCCAGTTTAGCTGACATTTTTCTCTCTTTATACAGAGAGGTTTACTGTGTTAGGCAAAGGACAACCTTAAAGGGAGATCAAACAGGAAGCTCGGCTCTAAAAATAGAGGCGGTTCAACTTCCAAAATGGCAAGTCAGCAGACATGCTAAACATAGGCTGGTGTTATAATATTTCACTTTTATTTCTAAGAACAACAATGATTAAAAAAAAAAAAAAAAAAAAAACATAGGAAGGGAGCATCAAATGCCATCTTTTTGTTTATTCTACTGCCCAGAAGTCCGGCGATCAAGGCTCACTGCAGGCACTCGGGGGAAGCTCCCCACCAAGGCAGGTGGCTGCACCCATCGTGTTTTAGCCCAGCACCAGTTAGTGACAGGAGCTAAACCAGAGGAAAAAAGAAGAAAAATAGGAAGTTCCTCCCCATCTCCGTGAGGGAGGAGGACAGCTGGGTTAGGTTTCTACCGGTTCAGCTTTGTGAAGCTCACTGCAAGAAAGAGCAAAGCCCGGGCCAGCAAGTAGGGAGTGAAGAAAGAGAAGCACAGGACACCAATTTAGATCTGTTTAATTGGCAAGGCCAAAAAAATGTGTTGTTAGATGCGGTGCCAATGGGCAGCACAGGGGATAGAGATGCTGTACCAGGGCACACGCTGGGCAGCAGCAGCAGAAGCTAGACGCTGGCCTGGCTGACAACGTGGTGGTCTGGCAGGGGCACAGCACAGGAATTGAAGGGACAAGTTTCTATCTCCAGAAAATCTCGCACAAATTTTTATCACAATTAAGAGCTTTGCTGCTTTCTGCTTTCCTTGGATCCTTATACAAGTTAAAAGTTCCAAAGCTTTTCACCACAGCTTGTGAGGAGAACAAAGCAACTAAAAAAAGGGAACCAAACATCTTCCATCCACATAAGCGTTATGGCCCACTTCAGTCTACACCAGATTTTAATAGCAAAATTCATGACTGATTGCATGTTCTTTGCTACTCCCATACTTATTTTTTAAATTCTATTAATAAACTCTTAGTGAGTTAATTAAAAAAAAAAAAAAGTTTGTGAGTTGTTAGACCACCCCATGAACAGCCTAAGTCCTGTACTTGCACTGCTCCCACTGACACAATGCCTGGCTGTGCATGGTGAATTCCACACAACAATGCTGCTGATCCTACAGAAGTGACCGCTGTGGTCACAACTTTAACCTCTTCAGCTCAGGGATCACAATAACTGAAAGTCTTCCCCCCTGCTTAAAATCCTCAGCATGTGTTGAAATCACCCCTTTTGTCAGTAGCCTGGATTGCAAGCCCAGCTTTGGAGACGAATGGAGATTCTGGCACACAAAGCTGCGCCTACAAGGGGACTGCTCCAGCCTAGCACCACAACGTTAAGTTCTCTGAACTTCTAGAAGCCTTTTAAACAAGGGAGTAGGAGAATATGAAAGGAAGAAAAAGAAAGGCACAAAGTCTCCAATACAAAAGGACATGAAGATACAATGCAGATCTAAAAACAACTGCAAGTGTGCAAGATTTTTGGAATAAAGTAAAAATACGTAATACTTAACTAGATACTGCTGTGCACTTATTCTTTAAGTAGCCCTGTGCATTTACTAGCATCACAATACAGCAGCATGGCATGCCAAGAGTGAAAACAAGACTGTACAATAACACTCAAACATTTAGTACAGATGGGGTAGATGTTTAAGGAGATGTTAGGAGGGCCAACAACTGTCAAATTTTAAGTCAACTTATGAAGAGATAACGACATTATGTCCCTCAGAACTGGTAATCAGATCCACCTTAGACAACTAAATTATAAAGCCTAGTTGTTATTAAATTACAACAGAGGTCTCCTTCTTTCAAGGGTTGTCTCAAGTCCCTAAGTAGGCCAGCAATTCCTTTCCTCTTCTCCCTTTGTGTTCTTGGCTCAAAGCCATTTCACAGATGAGACAAATTCCAACAGCTGAAATGAGTCCATTGTTTCAGGTTGCGAGAATACGCTGGATATCTTTCATATCAGGTAGGTGTCTCGTTGTAACTATTATCCCAACTGTGCAGTTTCAAGTGTTTGTTCTTTAAAGCAAAGCTACTGTACGGGAAGAGTGTTTTATCCATGCACACTATACATGGGTGCTAACACACTGGTCATAAACATTATCAAACTAAGTAACAGCTGGTATCCGCATTTTTAAACAATGAAAGTAAACCAAAACAAAATGCCAACAAGTAATGGTAGTTTCTTTGGAAGTCTGATTAAATTTAAAAGAGGACACCTGTGCTCAATTAAGTACAAAGAGCAAACAAAAGAAAAATCACTATTGTTTTTCCTCCCTATTATTGCTACAGACTAGAGTTTTCGAAGTGAAATTTAAGAATCTAGTCTAACAAATGTCATAAGTCCTTGTGACTTACAGGTGCCCAAGCTGATACTTTCTATTCATAATGTGATTATTGTGAGATTTGAGAAAAAAAGTTGAGACCGAAAGCTCAGTACCTTCCTCTGGAATTTATGTGCTTTGAAAAAACAAACAAACAAAAAACACCACCTCTTTAATAGGTTCTGTAGCAAATGTACTTACCCAATTCTAAGAAGAAAAGAGAACAAAGGATAAGTTGAAATAGCAGCAGCATACTATTATGATGAGCACTTAAAAATAAACACTAACAAGTTTACGCAGAACACAACATTCTTCAAGCTATGTTCTCCATCAACTCCCACACATTCAAACACAGCTATGATCACTCCACATTTGCAAAACATAAATTCCACTTCCAGGTTCAGCAAGGCTTTGAAAAACTTTTGAAAACCCTGTATTTCAGAAACACAGCCACCTGGTGGTCCATATCTGAGGAGTCTGCCAAAAACGCAGCAATGGTCATGGGAGATATTAATAAAATAAAGAATTTTTCACCTGCTTTACTTGAACATTACAAAGTGAGTGCAACACATATATTAAGGTAAAAGTGGGGGGGAAAAAAAGGATCAATGATACGCACTATGAAGGTTGTTCACCAGTGTTTCCTGAAGTCATTAGTACATAATCCAGAAATTAGAGATGGGAATTGCACCCATTTGCTCTCAGTCTCAATGTAACAGTTGCATATAGCACAAACTCCACGGTGACTGATGACAACCCATAATAACCTTTTTTTTTTTTTTAAGGTATAACTTAGAGTCGATTCCCCAAATATTTTAGACTTAAAAAAAAAAAAACACACAAACAAACAGAAGTTTCCACCTGTGATGCCAGAAGTCATCAACTGTATTCAAAATATAAAAATCAGCAGGTGACAATGTTATGGCCCAAATTACAGGCTCAGTACAATGACTCCAAATGGAGTTTGTCCAAACACAGTACAAAAAAAAAGAATGACGTGCAGTATCTGGCCCAGACCATACGGATGGATTGCTGAACCAGCTGTGAGAAACAGCACACTTTTACATTTAATTTAATCTAAAAGTTAATTATGATTGTTATTCCTGCTCCATTGTTTCATAAATCTAATTTTATTTATAAACATCCTCCTGCTTTGCTGGCCATGTACACAGGAATCTCCACCCCCTAATATTTCAGGGGACATCAATCTTGAGGAAATGCAACTCCCACACTTTGACTGTTACACAGGAAAAACAGCGCTGTTATGCAACACGACGCCGTTCCAAAACATCTCAGAGCCTCAGCTCCGGCAGTTTCAGAAACAGAAATGGCAGCTTATCAGCTATGGAGCAAATCCACAGAAAATTGCATACGAGGGCCATGCACCAGGCTTTCCCACAGCAAGGAGAGGCATTCAGTATCTACAAACGTGCACACGCAGGTATTTAGAAAAGCCATAAAAGTTAGAACTTCCGATACCCTCGTGTTATTTCCTAATTTAACTGCAGATTGACCAACAGAAATGCTACTAAATAAGCACTTCCCACATCACTTTGACATTTTCTCCCAGAGAGGTATTTTCCAGGCCCTATAAAATGACCATAAATTAAGCAAGTTTTGTTTGTGAAGGAAGGTTATTGGAGATAACCTCTCTTCCACAGATAACCCCAGCCAGCAGAAATGCAGCAGAAGTTCCTCTCCTTTGTTTTTCTTAACTACAGCTTTCCCAGACTCAATATCCCTATTGATTATTAAACTCAAGAGTAATTTTCAAAAATTCTTCTTTCAGAATGCAGTAACTGGACTAGTTTAAAAGACTAACTCCTGTTAAAATGGAAGTAAATAACAATAAATTCTAGGTAACAAGAATGCAGTTAAATGTCTCTGAAGGACTGCAGCTAACAACTCCAGAGCTCAGCTAGCTTCACGGTGATGACTTAGCAGAGTGCAGCATCACTTTTCTGTAATGATTTTAGAGAAAGCATAAATAACACATCCATCTTAAGTAAAAGGAGATTTCAGAGAAACATACTGTGTAATCTCCTACTCAAAATGTAGCTTTCCTTAAATTTTTTTCTTTTGCCAAAATTGCTAGGAAACGTTTGATGATTGCAGTCACCACTCCTCTGTTTTGTGTCTTATCAAAGACAGGCAGTTCGCAAAGCTTTGTGCTCAGTCTCTCAGCAACCCTTCCTCCACGCGCTGACCTGGCCTGACACTGATAAAGTCTGAGGAGAGCACAAGCAAAAGGTGATGGGGCTCCCATCAGACATTTTACAAACAGATGCTCTACACCAGATTCAAAAAAAGGAACTCGATCAATGCAACTGCTGCTTTCCAAGATCACAAAAGTATATTTAGGACACCTGTTAAGAAGAGCAAAAGCATTCACTCTCCTTCAGATGGCCAATTATCCAGCATGAGATCAGAGCGTGGTCAGCACAACTACTAATTAGGGTTTCCCCCAGCCTTTTTAATTTACAAATTGCTTCTCCATGCCTTCTCCCAGATTCTGAGAGTTATCACAAATGTCTACAAACACAACTGGGCAAGTATTTCAAAGCAATTCCGCTCTGTATAGAGTTAATCCAGTGCATTCAAAATAACTTACCCACTAATAACTTCACATCTCTGACGGTGAAATCCGGGTCAGGCATTCTGTAATTAGCAAAGAAAGCAATGTTAAATACTGTCAGGATAAGTATGGTTACACATTCGTTACCATAATAAAAGAGAAATAAATGTATAGTGCTCTTTGTCCATTATGCAGTAGGTGGAATCAAGCAAGGCCTCACTGAAGCGTGGACAGTGCAAGTTCTAAAGGCACACAACATCCTTGCACTGGCAAATGTATGAAAGTTTCCCTACTCATAACGAATGAGGAGAGGTGTCTTTTCAAGCACACTGGCAGCACTGGAGTGAGATGAATGGGAAGGGGTTGGGGTGATTTCAATGAAATCCCAAACCTTTATGACTCGTTTCTGCTAGGCAACTCACCATGCCTCAAATATATTCCCTAAGTCTGCCAGCGGACACAAACTGAGGCATGGAAGGGTAAACCAGTTTGTTCAAAGTCACATCATCATAGTAAAGCATCGAAAATAATGAACTGAAGCCTTTGTTTTAATGACTATTCCAAATCTCCTCGCCTGACAGAAGACAGCTCAGCTGTATTTGTTGGGTAGGGAAGTTGCTATTCTATTCAGCTGGGGCTAATTCAGAGCTAAATTAAATGGAAACATAATTGCTTCATTGATGTTATATGATCACTTCTAACACAGGCAATGTCTTAGAGTTTCATGTACATCAAGTGAGTGAATTTTAAGTGTCAGGACGAGAGTAGAAGTCTGCAACCCATAGACTGGATGGAAAAAGAATACAAAAACAGTAGTGGGGTTTTAAAGTTGATTGACTTCATCTTAATGAGGGTAGTTCAAACTTCACATAGCACAAAAGCTGAGGAAGGAATTGTAATGAGAAACAGCCCTGTGGGAAGTGCCAGCTAGGTGCTCTGCCCTGCTGCCGTGGGTGGAAGATAAACAGCTTGCTTCTAGTATCAAGTACTTCCAGTACAATTCAGTTAGGAATCAGAATTATAGGGCCTATGTGCAAGCTTTTATTTAGAGTTTTTACTACTAAGAAAACACTGAAAAGTAAAGTTAAAAAATACGCGTAGTGTCGTGCATGCACCTTGAGAACTATTTGCCTGAGCTTCTTTGTTCACTTACTTTTACCCTTATCACCTTCCTCTGGTGAGATGCAGAGGATGGACAATATCTTTTGTTAGGTCTCTGCCAACCCTCACATCTTTGCATTTAGCTGTAAGGGCCCCCCCAGCTTTGGAATTCATAGAATCATAGAATATCCTGAGTTGGAAGGGACCCTTAAGGATCATCAAGTCCAACTCTTGACACCGCACAGGTCTACCCAAAAGTTCAGACCATGTGACTAAGTGCACAGTCCAATCTCTTCTTAAATTCAGACAGGCTCGGTGCAGTGACCACTTCCCTGGGGAGCCTGTTCCAGTGTTCCATTCACTCCCTTGCCAGAATGAAACAGCCTGAATCCACTGACCTTCAGGGTTCACTCAAGGCTCATCTTTTTATCCAAGCACTAGGAAGGCAGAAGTAGGAGAAGGAGGAACTATTTGGGGGCAATACGAATATGCCAGGCTTATGTTCAAATACCAAAGCTTGCCTTTATTTTAGGTCAGATGCATAGATGGGCAATCTTTTTCACATCTGTAGGAATCAAAATAAAATTCAAGAACCAGAAGAGAGAACAACCCCAGATGCATACAAACAAATCTACTCTGAGAGCTCCAGTGGCAGCTGACAATAAACTTTACCCAGACTGGAAGAATACAATCCTCCCTAACAGTAAAATTACTTGCTTAGCTCTTTGGAGAGCACACCTGGCATATCCTTGTTTTTTCCTCTGCAGTCTCAGGGTATATCATACATTAGAGAAAAGGAACACCAAGGGAAGGATTTCAGGCTTGAACACAGCAGGTTTCAAGTACAAGAACCCATTTTGTAGCTGGGTTACCTTGGGAGGTCGAGCTTTGATTCAAACCAATTCTGCTGGCTGCTGAGACCACAAATGACTGTACTACTTCATCTCCAGACTCGCTCAGCATAACTGCCACACTCACTATTATACAATTAGGGCTGCTTTGCTACTGCTCTGTGATGGCAGAAATTTTTTTTGACTGTCACCAGTCCTATACTAATCGGTAAGTACTAGCTCATTTGTTTTTCTGCACATAAATCCAAATCACCAACAAGGCAGAACTGAGCAGATATTTTCTTCTCACTGTTATGCAAAGTTCAGGCAAATTAATCTCATGTAAAAGAGCCTGTAAATGCTTCCAAAGATTTCACGTCAAAAAAATAGTTGTGAAGAGTAGTATAGCAGGGTGCCTTGACTTTACGCCAAAATATACCATTTGGGGTAGAACAATGCAATATGGCAAACTACCCACTGACTTAAAGAAACCAGAAACAATTACACCTACCTGAAGCTGTGGGAGAAATTGTAGCCTTGAGGTTCAGAAGCAAAATTACCCATTTCTCCATATATACACACACACACTCCTGGAGATTTCTACTTAACTGCATTTGAGGAGACTTTCAGCATTCTGTTATACACAAACCATGCTACCACAAACAGAAAATGCAAACGCCTTACCGTGCAGTGGTGCAAACTTGCATTTTATTGAGAGTTTAAAGATTTGCTAGAAAGTCTCCTATTCAAGTCCTTAATAGGATGAGCTCTGGATAGCAGATACAACATCTTTTCAAACTGAGTTCTCCCTCTGGGTTACAAGAATAGAAACAGCCAAAAAACTCTGAGAGATACAAATTATCTTTTGCTAACAGATCACAGGTGGACCTTTCTGCTTATAGGCATACAAGTAACATCTCATAATGGTTAAAAAATATACTTGAAAGCAATTTTCAAAGTTTCATTATATTTTTTCCTCATTCATCTTATTTTGTACCATTTCAGAGTGCCTCCAATCACAGTAACCAAACTGTTCAGCGAGGATTTGTACATTTGCCAGCCACAGACATGCAAGCTGACTGCTTAACAGCAAACAAGTGGAAGCACATATCATCAGCTAATCAAAACATCAGAAATGTAAAAATCATCTTATAGTGTAGATTTTATAGACCACTGAATCTCAAAAGTCACCCTACACATACATGGATCACTTAATCTACCACATATGATGAGCACATCCTTCTCTGGACAAAGGATAGCACTGCTGGACAAGACCCACAAAAGCATGATTTCCTCCAGAGCCTGCAGCAGAACATAAGGTTCTGGAGTTTCATCAGCAAACGACTCGAATCCCAAGGCAAACTACTCAGTCTCGTCCTAGTGATTGAAGATGGCAGACTGTGACACTCGTTATTTCAAGCAGCAAATGTCAGGATAATGAGACTAAAGGTTTCAGATCAGCTACTCAGGCAGGTGTCGATGCTATTTTGATCTCACTGGAATACAATGCACGCAGTAATGATGGATCTGCATATCCACATAAGGTATATATTGCGTGCCAGCTATCCTTGATAGATACATGTAAGAAGTGGAACTGTAAATAAAATTAAATCATGTTATCCTGCCAAGTGTCAAATAGGAAAGACTGCTCATGCATTTCACTCCTCTCATTTAAAATACACATAAATCGCATTTCCAGCCTTCTCTCACTCTAGTGGCATTTACACCCAAGCGTGTGAAATTCCTTTACAACATCATTTCAGACTAATAATTCATGCTCATTTCAGTAAAAAAAAAATAAAATAAAATAAAAAGAACAGAACATGAATGTCCTATACGAGATTACTGATCTACAAATTCTAACATTTTAATCCCCCAGAGCAGCCAGTAGTCAATGACTCAGAAGAGAGCAGAAATATAAATCCAATTCAGCCAACTGACTGTGAAATGGAGAATTCCACTGATCCCATGCAGGATCCATCCAAAGCTCGTGTATCAGATAAGTTTGCTCTTACTTTTGTCCACATACTAATCGATCAAAAATAGCCTTAAAAAAGCATCAGCACACCTATTCTTTCTTCTCCAGCAGTGAATTCTAGCTACAGTATTAGGATGATAGCAGCAGTTGGTAGGAATCAGAAACTGGCTAGTCAAGCCTGGCTGCTGAAACTATTTTAAGCTCATCACAGCAAACTGAAGCTCCTTCACCCTCCAAAGCAGTGCGACAGTCAGGAAAGTGACTCCAAAACTCCTACTGTGGCTTAGTATTTATTCCTCTCCCATCTTCTCACAGTTCAGAAGTCCAAAGATGTATTATTTTAACTGCCAGACCTGCAAAACTCCAGCTGAAAAATGGAAAGTGATGCTGCACATGGTCTTGTAACTTCTTCACCTCCAGCACATTTTCTAGAACTGCTATTTATTGGACTGCTTTGAAAACGTTTACAAGGAAAGGTAGCTTATTTTCAGTGGTCATCTTTGAGGATTGAACACCTACACATACATTCATGCTGTGTTTGTGCCTGCACAAGCATTTGAGCAAGGCCATTTTTATATCTCAGCAAAATACACCTGTAAGCTGGCCTGTCCATACACCTTGGGTATGACTGCAGAAGGGACAGGTATACAGCCAAAGCCCTCACTTCTTCAAGGTCTTAACAACAATTCCTGATGACTTCCAGGAAGAGGAACAGGAAGACTGACTTTGACCACATCTAAAAATAACACATCTTGAAGAAAAGCAAGCCAACACGTGGAAAAAAAATGGTTACAAGACCCAATTACCTTGAGGAGTCTCTGAACTCCTACATCAAGAAAGACCAAAGACTACTCCTCAAAAGTCAGAATCATGCTATGATGCTTCAGTGAAAGCATCCTGCTAGCTGGATGTGGAGGGGAGCACCAGGTGGCAGCTCTCCAGACTTTGGACACCAAAATAGTAGGGAAGCCAATGACGACGCGAGCCGAGACTGGGATGTTGAAATGTCTGAGGTGGAATTGCCTCATTACAGAATCCTGAATAGTGATCTATCAAGAAGAAACAGATAGATAGCACATCTTGAGGTTACAGATGCTGAGAAACAAGGTAACTTTGTAGGTAACTTCCAGGTCCACAACTTTTCCCAAGCCACTCTCAAGATGCAGGCAGAATCCTGAGCAAAAGGGAAATCACATCCAATGACCCCTTGCTTCAGTCAAACTTGACTAAAGAACGGGTGCTTGATTTGAGGCTGGTGGAGAACCAAGGCTCACAGATGGTGCTCAATATCTCTCTTGCTCATCTGTCAGCTTCAGAATCCCTGCAGCCATACATACCAACAAGGACACATCAAATAGGCCAGTGCAGAGTCAAAGCTTGCCTGTGAGCGCTGGCTCTGGCATCTCTGTGCAGACCTGAGAACAAGTTGCACTACGTCTGGTTCCCAACCACTCCCTAGTTTCACAGAAGCTTGTGGCTTCTTCCAAAAGCAGTTCTTGAAGCTTCTACCACCTGTCCTTTAGCAGCAGCAGACTAAAACCAATGCACATAGAGAGATCAGTTTTCTCAGATATGATTTTCCACAGTAGATGTGTCCTTCAAACTGCTGCTCCAAGAGGAGCATCAGGTGAAGAAACATACTGACTGAAGCAGCAATAATCATCAACAACAACAAAAAAAACAACTCACTGCCAAGCCCAGCCGAGAAGCCAAAAGGAAGTCAGAAAAACAGAAGCTCTTCACACAGCAGAAAAAAATAAAAAACATTCTAATGGGGAAACAAACAAAGAGATGGTATCTTAATGTCTGCAATATTTTTTTAAACAAGAAACTAGACTGAGCATCCAGTGCTAAACAGAGAAACAGCAAGACTTAGTAACCAAAGGAAAAAATATTCCAATACAACATCATGGTACAACCAAATAACACTTACTGTAATTACTATTGAGTACCTATTAAGCACTCCTCGTTCAGAGTTCAACACATAAAACTGTTTTATTACAGCAGAAAGATCACAGTGGCTCCTATTTTCTCTTATAGTAAGAAGACATTCCCTTATACCACAAACCCTATTTCCTTCTTTCTCCCTCTCCTTAAGTTACACTGAGGCGGCTTGAAGTTGTTAACATCTAGTTATTAAATAATTGGGACTCAGACTTTGAGGTGTTCCAGCTGAAAGTGAGTAATTGTTCTTTCACAAAATTAATTTTCTATCCTTCAGATATTATCAGTTACACAGTCAAAATTTCCAAAAGTGCCAAAGGACATTTATCCAAACTATAGATTGAGAGACTGATTAAGTACATCATTTTAGTATTTCTCTTAGACCCTGTCACTTTTTTTTTTTAAAAAAAAAAAAGAAAAACACCTTACAGGAGTCACTTATTAAAATACCAAATTCTTTATGACTGGATATTAACAAAATGCAACCTCAAAAAGACTCTAATAATACCACATTTTAATGAAACGCTATTAAATATTTATAAAGCAGTAACATTTGGAAGAGATATGATTATCACGGAAAAAGACAAGCACCATTTGACTTTCCACCTGTAACGCAGAAAACAAGTGAGAAGTCAAAAACTGAAGGGACATCGTTCTGTCATTACAACATGAAATGGAAGGAAGAACATTTGAATTTTATTCCCAACTTTTATCACTGGTTTATTTTTGATTGTGTAGAACCACACTGGGTACACCTAAATTTTATAGAACTCATTATCTGCATGTTTACAGGTGGGAAATAATCATTGCCCTTCTCAGAGCTGACAGTCTTACTAACTTACTAACATTTGAGATCATCAAGAGATATCACATACAAGTGCAAAGCATAATGGTAATTTTATAAATAAATAAATACATTTATTAATCATCAAGATTTGGTTGTAACTTACTTAATTCCCAGTCCATCCTTATTTCTGAAGATAAGGGGAACTCTGAGCGCTTCTCTTTGCACATACTCAAAAGTAAAATCTGTGTGGATAAGGAATTAAAAAGAATCCAAAATAAATTACAATGGCATTGGCACCTCACGTTGCATTCTCTCAAAACACTCCCCATTTTCCTTTGCTCACCAGAGACCTCCACCATCACTTAAAGAAAAATATAAAGAGAATGCATATTTTAGGTCCAAACCGGAAACCAAATGACAGACAATACTCTCCCAGCTGCTCTCTATTTTTCCTGTTCACTGATGCATATCAAATGGAATCCAGTCAGTTTGTCAATTAAGCTCTGGCGTGAAACACCCAGGTTGTAATGAAGTACCAAATTAACAGTTAAAAACTAATCCTAACAAAATTACTGGGAATCAGCCTAGCACTTTGGTGGCAAATAAGTAGTTTAAACTTCAGTTTCTACATTATACATTTCAGGCTTTAAATTTTTATTTAGGGGAAAAATTGTGAGCATTATTTGAACACAGCACAAAGTTCTGATTCTGTGAAGATGTCTTCTTATGCCAGGGTTATTATTACTTTCCACAGATGACATTTTCGTAATTAATCAGAAGCCTAACTGCAGGAGCCAATATACGGAAATCTTATACAGCTGCTGGCACTTGGGGAGGTGGGGAAATTGAATAGTTTTGCTGAGGCAGTCACAGAGCAGCACCCAAGCAAACTAGAAATTAAACACAAGTTTGGTATGTTAACGCTGACCAGCATCACCTTGTTGCTTCACACAGATGTGGCCTTCCTGGGGGATTTCTTTATGCTGTAGTCTGATACCATAGTGGTGATTTGGGGATTAGAAAGTTAGAAGGCAGTGATTGGGGTGAGCAGTGCCTGCAAAACCCCACAGTCCACTTGGAGCATTTGGCCGCAGAAAGGAAAAGAATTTTACAGTGGCCACATTCTGTCTTTTCTCCTTTCTTACAGGAAAGTGACTTTTAAAGACGTTCAAAATAGAAAACAATCTTTGAATCTTCGGCAGGTAAACTATGGCACTGCCAAAACCATAGTACGTTTCATGTCTTGGAGTCAGGTACACCCCAGTGGTTTAACTTCTTCAAATTTAGCCACCAGTGCTCGTGCTACCTGGGGGAGTATGAGAATAGGCTCAAGCTTGTGTATCAGTAATGCTTCTCTACTACAAAGACTCACAGTGGAAAAAGAGGGAACAGAGGCTCAGCTCCCATGCCTACACATGGATTTCCCTCTCTTTTTACAACCTTTTCCTCCCTGCGTTCAGTTCATGATTATGACAAGAGCAGATGTAATATTCCTACCTAGAGTAACCAAAGCAGAGCACTCTGATAACGTTTTTGCAAAAACGTTACAGAAACTTTATTTCAACTAGCCTGCAAATAAGTGTAATTAATACCCCAATTAACTAAGATGCCAATTAAATATTTTTGTAGTAGATAAGTCTTCATTTCTAGTACGTATTCACCTTAAAACCAGTCTGCTTTTAGTTAAACAAATAAACTACAAGCTTCTTTATTTCTAAGGACACTCATTCAAGACAGAGTCAACAAACATCAGGAACAACAGCAGCAGAAGAAGCAGAGACAGATGCATGGCCCAACAGCCCAGAGAACAAGTAGGTATGACAAACTGCATTCAAGCCCCCAAAATCACACCACTGCTTTGCAGCATCATGAAGAAAAGCTCCAACCCACAATCCTGGCAGGAAAAAAAAAAAATCAAAGAAGAGTTATCATTAAAATAAAAACAAGACCATGGAAAGGAAAATAAATATCACTCAACCAGCTCCATGTGTTCATATAACCTGACTTTTTTCTTACCAAACACTGTCATTGTCCTAAATTCAATTCATCTCCTAGATGTATAGAAAAATAAACCAACAGCAAAAATAAAACCAGAGCAACTATGAAGGCAGACCCATTCTTCATAATGCCCCAACAAAGCATTTAAATCCCTCCTGGGGTTGAACAAAGCAGACACAGACCACAACAAAATAACAAAAGACACTCATTTATTTCCAAGTTCCCCAGAAAGTGGAAAGCTACCCAAAGATTTTCGGGCTGCTGAGCCAGGGAAGCTGTGGATTCTATTAGAGCTGGCGTGTAGCAGTGACAACCACTGGAGTGTTGGGAAAGTGAGGGAAGAACACACTCATTTTCTGGAAAATTAATTAACATTTCTGAGCTATAAAAAATAGGTGTTTGTGTTTTGTTTAGAGGAAGGTGGTGTGGCAGGGTCAGAGTTGAGCTTATCTCCTAAACAAACACCTTCCTAACTAAGATAGCTATTTAATTTCTCCACCACATTAACTTTCCTAAGAGGAGCTTAGGAAGCTTGCTCCAAAATAACTCCAGGGGAGCATGGGGACCTTTTCTCCCCCGGAGTTTCGGCTCCGCTCCCAGAGCGAGGGGACAGAGGGGGGGACCAGCAGCCCAGCAACCGCATCCCCGGGGCGGGCAGCGCTCGGCGGGGGGGGGTCCGGGCTGCAGCCCCGAGCAGCGGGGACAGGAGGGGGCCGGGGCCGTACCTCGGCCGTCCATGGCTCGCACGAAGTCCCCGCCGTACGCCCGGCTCCGTAGCTTCTCCTCCAGGTCGAAGCTCCTGGCGCTGACGATCTCCTCCACGTCCGAGATGTCCTCGTCGTACCTCCTCCTGCCCAGGGCTCGCTGCAAAACACAAAGCGGGAGGAGAGCGCTCAGAACCGGGGTGGGGGACACACACACACGGTATCCGAGCCCCCCCGCACCCTCCCCGAGCTTTGGGGCGCTCAGCACCTTCTCCATCCCCGGCACAGGTGCGGGCAGCGGGGGCGCTGCTGCTGGCGGTGCCGGTGTTGTTGTGCCGCACGTGGGGAAGGGAAGACCCCGGGGGGGGTTCGGGGGGGGTCGTCCCAGAGCCCAGCGCTCAGGTTGGGGGATTTCCATAATCCCGGGGTTTCCATAGCCACGCCGGAAGGCGCGGTTTCAAAGCAGGGCGCATTATGCAACGCTGCGAGCCGGCTGCTCCCCCCCTGCTCAGCCCAAAGCCTGGGGGGCGAGGCACTGCACCCCCCCCCCGACCCTCCCCAGGTAGGTTTTGGGGTCCCACCGACCCCTGCCCACGGACACCCCAAATAATCCCAATCCCGCCTCCCCCCGGGCTCAGCGCCCCCTCCGCAAACAATCCCGCAAAATCCCTGAAAAGGCGCAGAAAGGAAAGAGGCAGCAGCCGGCTACACACCAGTCTTCTTCCAGGGTCTCTCTCTGCCTCCATTTTTTTTGGGGGGGAGTCTCATCACTTAATTGTCAACAGTTCCTCTCCGGCATTTTTTTCTTTTTTCTTTTTTTTTTTTTTTTTTTGGCCCAAACTGGGAGGAGGGCAAACAAAAGCCGGCCGGGGCTCGCCCGAAGTTTGGTCATTTTGCACCAGCGCTTTTTTTTTCTTCTTTTTTTCTTTTTTTTTCTTTTTTTTTTTTTTTTTTTTTTGAGGGGGGAGAGAAAGAGGGCGGGGAGGGGGCGGCGATGTGCCCTGCCAGCGCCTCGGCATCCAGTCCCAGAAGCTGAGGCTGCCGGGGGGGTGGAGGGCAGGCGTCGCAATGGGGCCGGGGAACCGGGATGGGGGTCCCCGGGCACCGGGAAGGGGTCCTGGGGGTTCTGAGGCAGTGGGGGGGAGTTGAGGGGTTCCCCCGCAGCGCCCCAGGGCTGGTATGGGAAAGGGGAGCCCCAAAGTGGGTGCTCTTGGAGCCGAGCCCTAAAACAAGCGTGGCCGCATCCCATCCCGGTGTGGCCGCTGGGGTGCTGCCGGTTCCTGGCATTGTCGGAGCCTTCCCTTTCCCGAGAGCCGGTTCCCGTCCCTGCGGTGACGCTGAGTAAATCTTGGGACCATCTGATCGCAAGAGCAGGGGCAGGCTGCGCGTTTTGAACAGCCTCCAGGCTTGGAAGTGTTGCTCATCCCTGCTACGACATCCCTCGCCTCCCCAGAGGGAACATCAAAGAGCCCCTGCACCCAGGGTCAGGGGCTGAAGGCTTTGAGGGGGCTCCTCTTCTCACTCCGGGCGGGTGGCGTCTCTGAGAGCGGCGTTAGGAGTTTGTGAAAGTGATGTCGGGAGTTAAACGTGTTTCTTCCACCTTCGGTACGGTCCTGGCTCAGTGTCGTCTCACCTGGGCCGGCAAAAGCAGCCAGTCTCTGACCTAACCAGTCCAAACCCCAGCAGCAAGTTTCAGATGTGGAGCAGTTTCCGTGGGGACTGAGTTTTTTCTTAAAATGGGGCATTTCACTGTCCCTGTCTGCTTCTCAACAGGAACATGCTCGTACAGCACCCAGTCACCCCTTGCCTACCTAATCAATGACATTCTAGGTACTATATGAATGCTTTCAATATCATCATAAAACACATTAAAATTCAACTTTGCGGGCCTTGCAGGTCATCTCTTTCGGAAAAATCCATATTTTAATGAGCTGTGACACGTGGATAAAGGCAGGACTTGTCTCGTGGATGGAGTTCAGCGTTTAAGGTAGGGAGTTTCTGCATCTGCCAACAGCTGTTTGCAGAATCTTGAAAAATCATGTAATCTTTCTCTAACATCTCCCTATTTGCAGATGATTGAACTTTATTATTATATAGAAGTGTTGTATAGGTTATATATTGAAGTGTGGGTTCCAGATGTCTGTTAAACCCGGAGCGTTATTAATCCATAATCCTGAAAAGATGTATGCATACGCTGACCTTTCAGCTAAGATTACTCAATCTTCAAATTAAATGCACGTGTACATCTGTATGATTGAGGCCAGAGTACTTGTACAAGATAAATGGATGTTACGAGAGAATCATCAGACAAAAAAACACATCATCCATCCAGCCTACAAAAGTCCACCAGAAAAGACAGAACAGAGACATAAAAGAAAGTCAGCTCATTTTTCTAAATCTTTTTTGGGGATGCAAACGATCTGAGACTCTTGGTGTCTCAAGCAAACCCACCAAGGACTGTATAAATCACAGCCACCTGGAAACCCCAGCGCATGTTATTGAAATATGGAAGTAAATATGTCTCAGAAATATCTGTAGACCTCCAAACATAGAAAACACGTTTTTAACCTTGTTTTAAGACAGAAGTGATTCCAGCTAAACTCCAATTCATTTTACCTTTGAAATACCACTGTAATAATTTTGGGTATTAATACCAAAATACTAAGTCACAAACTTAAAAGAACTGGGGGAGAAAGGGGGGCGGGGTGGTAGGATGTGGGTGATGAGAATATCCGCAGCTGCATTAGATAGGATAAAAACATTTAAAAGCAATATTAAAGCCGTGTGCTGCGGGATGCAGGTTAACTGCTTGTAGCTGAGGGCTGGGAGCTGTTTTCCCTCCGAGCAGCTCACGCCGCGGATTTCCACCAGGGGGTTCTGCTCCCCGTCAGGCAGTGCTCGGGACAGGGCTGCTGTGAGGTAGGCTTGCCTCACCGTCAGAAATAGAGAGAAAACTGTGCGCTCATGCTGTGAGAAGGGAGCGGTGATCTTTGACAAAAGGGCTAGTTTGAATGGCGTTAAAATAAAATCTGAAAACGCCAACGTGTATTTTAAGTTATTTCAGTTCCAGTCATGTCTCACAATGCTTAAAATGCTTCAATAAGAGCTCTGGTGTTGTGCTTGGGAAGGGTTTGTGAAGAAATAGGTTAATTTCACTCCTCCTGAGCTCTCAAACATTTATTTCCCATTGGATAGAACGGACTGAAATAAACTTCTAAAGGTTTTCAAAACATCTTTCGTTGTGTAAGACCTGTCATCATATAGCTTCCTTTGAGTTTAGATGCAGGAGTAGATATTCAACCTTTTATTGATTAAGGAAGTTAGAAATTATTATATGATTTTCTAGGCAAGATGAAGATTTCTTTTATCTGCAGAAGTTAAACTTTGTTTTATCTTAGGTGAGATTTGCAGAGAAGTTTGCCTTAACATCCCTGGTGCTTTGGACTACTAACAATCCTCTCAAATTGCATTTCACAACTGTTACATCTGTCTGGTGAGTTGTTTTTAATGCAGATCTACCATAACTTCAATTCTGTGATAACCTGATTTGGTGCTGGTACGATAACAGGAACAAATGCAAGTGATGATTTGCATGTGAAGCTCTCAGTATGTTTTAGAGAAACAGCAATGCAGAGGGTAGCACCCCTGCATGGGCCGTACACACAAATAGAATTGTATGATACTCAGCACCTTTTCTTCTTATCTGTCCTCCTACAGAAAACAGAGAAGTGTGTTTTTAGCAGAAAGTTTCACGAGTATCCTTGTGACAGTGTTTTTTGGAAAGAAACTTGGATTTCTGCCACCTCTGATAGTGTTCATGCATAAACGATCCAGAGAATGGGTTGATGTTACCTCTAATCAGGGCCAATAGCAGCTTGTTGCTGAAGGGGCCAGCTCCCTCCTTGTGCCTGTATCTCCCTCATTAGGTCTAGTGTTCCTGCAGCCCCAGGGTAAGTCAGTTCAGTGACTTGATCCAACAGAAAACTACCCCATCAAGGAAAAAAAAATACACTTTTTGTTATGTTCTTTTTCACTGAACCTCTTGCTGTGTATCCATTTGATTGGGATAATCTACAGGATGGAGAGAAGAGTGGGGTGAGATGAAAGAAGGTTGTAGGACTACGCCCTTTTGGTGGCCTTCTGCAATTGCACTAATCAGAGGTAACATCAAACCACAGCTTTGAACTCCACCATGATTTCATTCCCTGAATCATTTCTAAGTTAATTGAGCATGACTGACTCTTGGTTTCAGCTAGCTCTAAAGTGGAGAGGTGTGTGTAACAATGAGTAATTAGGGTTGGAAATAAAAGAATTTATCCTGTTTAGTTTGTAGCTCAGAATGGAGTTGTAAAATGGAACATAAAGGAAGAAAATGAGTACACTGCTACAGTCCTAAGGTTTTAATTGTAGAAGGTGGCTTGATCCTTAATTTATTCCAAGAAGCAATTTATTTATTTTTGCTAGTGGCAAAGGAAAAAACAGGAACAGGAGTGATGGACAGAAACAGTGAGTTCAAAGCACTTATGCATCTCTTAGGTCACAGGTAAAGTAAGCTGATTTGCGCTATGTAAAGCTTCCCATTTTCTAATCTTTAATCATACTGTGTATGCTAAAAGTGGTACAACAGAGGCAAGAAAGCAGTCATTTGGTTGTAATGCAGGGGAACACCATCACTTCAAAAGAACCTAATCAGTTGAGCAGTCTATTTTAAAATATACAGTTATTTTAGACTGCTGAAATCCTTCTCACCTGCATGTCTCTTGCAGGCTTTCCTATAATTTCCAGAGTACTGAATCAGACAAAGAGCTGCTGTAGTAATAACGAATTCAAAAATTCTAATTATACCCTGTTCTACTTTGATAGTTATTTAATTAAGGCTATTGAGTCTCCCTTTAAAGCAACTAATACTTCTACACCAATATTATAAATACAAATATGTTCCTTTTTAGATAGATCTGATTTTAAGGAACAGCTCAAGACCTAGGCATTACTTATGCAGTGTTAGTAACATGTGATGTTATAGTTCAACTCTAATTTTGTGCAGGGAAAAACCAGCAAACAATTAGTCTTGCTGTGCATACACAGTATTTTTATAGTTTACAAAGAGCAATGCAAAACAGTTCTAAATGTATGATTCCACAGAAACTAAGTGACAGACCCTTAAGGAAACTTTGCTTGAGATGTGGGGAAATGTTTACATTCCTGGTTTCTGATGGTTACAATTTTTCCCAAGTACAGTGAATGTTGTGAGAAAATCATAGCATCATTGTTACTCCTTGCTTTGCAATCTGGTGCTCAGGCATGGCCTGGAGCATTGATGGGAGATACAGAAAATGTTCTGATTGTTGTGAGGAAACACCTGTGTTGGGGGGTTTGTTGTTTGTTTTAAGAATTAAAGCACATTAAGCAGAGAGTAGTATTCTATAATGCTATCTCAGGCTGCCTTTCACACAAAGGAATGCTCCTGAGTAGTTCTGTCACACCCAAAGTTAAGGCACAAGCACTGTCTTAAACCTCACCTCTTCAGCAGTCGTCTTTGGGACTGGGCCACATATTTGCTATGGAGTTCTGCTCTGTACCTCAAACTTCCCTCTGGACAAAAAAAAAAAAAGTTTTAATGGTATTGCATGAATGTGGCAATTAAAAACCTTGTAACACTGACATAGATCTGTGTTGAAATGTTCTGCCAGATAAGGGAGTGTTTCAACTGATTGTTGATAAGTTTATCAGGAGCACTGGGCCTACGCAATGTCCCTCAGAACCTGAGCTGTGTGACACGTCTGGGTGTATCAGCTTTAAATGAAGCGAGGGGGGATTTTCAGAGAGGTTGGGCTCCAAAGGACGGATGTAGATTGTGCTCAAGCTTTTTGGAAAAGGAGGCTAGTGCGTGAGGAAGGGCTGGGGGGCTGCGTTCTGAGGGGGGGGCGGCAGCTGCCCCGTCCCTTTTTCTGTTTTGTGTGGATTCACCAGGAACGAGCGGAGGGGGCTGCAAGAAACTTCCTCACAAACCACAGATCCCCGGGAACTAAGTTGTTGTTTGTTTGTTTTTTACCGAATTAAACAGCAACCTCCTCAGCGCGACTTCGCCCTCAGGGGCCCGCCGCGAAGGGCGGCTGTGGCGGGCGCGCTCCTCGCCTCAGAGCCGCCCTCGGGTCGCCGGGAAGCGGGCGCGGAGCCGCGGGGCGGTGGCGGAGGAGGAGGAGCAGGGCCCCGGGGCCGGGCCCCAATGAGGCGGCTGCGGGGCGGTGCTCGGCGGGCGCAGGCTCAGGCTCGGCGTGGCGGCAGGCGCGGCCCCGGCAGCGGCAGCAGCAGCAGCCGGCGGGCGCCATGGGGCGTTAGCGCAGCCGGTGCCCTCGCTGTGCCGTAGGAAGGAGCCGCTGCAGCCGCCGGGTGCCTGCCGAGCCGTTCCTCCGCCCCGCTCCCTCGCCGCCCGGAGCCCCATGAGCCTGAACGAGCACTCGATGCAGGCGCTGTCCTGGCGGAAGCTCTACCTGAGCCGTGCCAAGCTGAAAGCCTCCAGCCGCACCTCCGCGCTGCTCTCCGGCTTCGCCATGGTGAGCGCCCGGCGGGAGAGGGGCGCTGAGGGGCCGCCGGGGCTCGGGCGGGAGAGTTGTGGGGGGGGAGGCGAAACGGGGACGTCGTTTCCCCTTTTTCTGACCCAGGACGAAGCCCTGAGGCAACAGCGCTCCTTCCCCGGCCCTTCCCCGGCCTCCTGCCCCCGGGGCTCGGCGCTGAGGAGGCGCCTCAGGGCAGGGGGAGGCCCCGGGAGCGACCGGCCGCGGCCCCGCCGGGTTTTGAGGCACTCAGCGCTCCCCGTGGCTCTGCTTCGGGATCCTTTTAAGTTTTATTTTCCCCGTTCTTTGTGCTGGGTCTTACAGCAGGCGGGGTCCCTCCAACTCCTTGCGCTTCTCACTGGGCTTTTGCAGCGCCGCTGTTTCAGTGTGTGGAGGAACTCGGGGGCTGCTCGGTGCCCTGGGGTTTTGGGTGTGTTTTGGGAATGCCTCTTGGTCTTGGTGTGCTTGGGGTCTGCTACACGATCACAGCCTGGTAACTAACTGCCTCAAGTGAAAGCTGGATACGATCATAAATACGGTCATTTATGGACTGCATCGCGTGTCCGGTCCCCTGACCTACCGAGCAGCCACCTGTGCGTCTGTGAAAATACTTCATATTTGTGCATTGGTTCTGCGATGATTTATTTTTGCCCCTCTTTCAGCAAGGCGCTGCCCGCCGTGCGATGTACCCCTGCCAGACCACTGCTCTAGCTGGAGGATGCTGTTTCAAAACACAACAGCCGCTCCACAGCCGCCTTCTGACGGTCAAATAAATGTCACTGCCCTTCTTGGATGGCTAAAAACAGCCGCAGCTCCTCGGGGTGGCGGTGCCTGGGGCTCGTTTGACTGACAGGCAGCTGTGTTGGTGCAGCGGCATGTTGGGCTCGGGTCTCCTTGGGTGACACGCAGCTCACACAGCGCTGCTGCTGCTGGGTTTCCCTCATTGTGTGCTCCTCCTGTGTCAGAGCGGTTTGCCAGGCTGGCTGCTCGAGTCAGGATTTCTCACTGAGAGTGAGAGAGAACAGAAGGGGAAAGCTGTAGTTTGCACTGTGCTTTTCTCTAAATACCTGCTCTGTGGGCTTTTAGTGTCCCGTGGATGTATGAGGTGAGGCTTGTGCTGCTTTCCTCTCTGCAGCAGATCTGGGAGCTCGGAGTCCTGCAGCTGGAAGCGTCTGCTTTTGACTTGATGTTGCTCAGGGTAGTTCAGGAAAAAGCCACTTTGTTCTGATTAGCAAAAAGCTGTAGTTGGAAGGAATGTTGCATGTGAATACTCATCCCATTCTAATTTTCTTCAAGTTACCCCCTCAAAAGTTCAGCTTTGATGTCCAGTGTGACCTTGTTAAAGAAAAACAAACTTGTAGCCTCCTTGGTTTGGCTGCTAAGAGATTGTTGTCTGGCTGGGACTTCCTCATCGGTTTCCAGAAGAGCTGACTTAACTGTCAAATATTTTTAGATTTCTTTTGAATAACTTTGCTTATCTGCTGAAGTTGTTCTCAGCGATTTCTGCATTGAAAAGCAGGGCCTTCTCCCTGCCGCCACGCCTGTGCATTGTTTACCAGCTTCAGCAGATTCCTCAGCACCTGATAACTGAACAATAGGCTGCTCAAGTACAATCTAGTCTTGGATCTAAAACTTAGTACAGCAATTAAGTGTCATTGTTCCTCCCTTTTCCTTATCAAGGCAGGGAAGAAACAGCCTAAAAGACACATTCAGGACCGCCCAGCAGATCGGTGGGAATTGTCAGGAGAGGAATGTGCACGTCTCCACGCCTGCTCCATTGATCCTTGTTCTTGTATTAAACAGCCTTTGCGTCCTCTAGTATGAGCTAAGTGTGTCCCCGCTAAACTGGTCCTTTATTGTTGGACTAATCTCGTATGTAACAGCAGCCCTGTTCAGAGCTCATTCCCTCAAGATTAGTTAAGCTTACCCCAGTTAAATGATGCATGCCGAAGTCAAGAGATTGCACGGGGCAGTGACGTGTAGAGCATGAAATGTCAGGTCGCGCTTCTACAGAGGAAATTTATTAAAAGCCTGCTCTGTGATCAGTTTTGTTTTAGAGCCTGCAAATCAGTATTTTATACTTAGTGTTAACCCAAGGGAGAGGGGTGCAGCGTCTGGTGGCTGCAGACTGATGTTAGAGCCATGCTCCCAGGAGTAAAACTCAGCATTTACTTCGGGCAGCTTTTCCTGTATTCTGTCATCCAGTGCCATATGCCTAAACAGAGATCTATGAAATTTAAAGTCCTGCATCTAGTATGTTTTTCCAATGTATGGGGCCACTGAGTAATACCAGCCCCCAAACCTTTAGGGATAAGGAAAGAAACTGGGGTGCTTACGTAGACCATGAAGGGAAGGAATGAAGTGTTTCCTCTGTGTGTAGCTACAGGCATTGAGTATTTCTCACTTCCGTTTCATCTTCTAGATCTTGATGTCTGACTTTCTTTTCCACATCTTTGTCTTAATCCAGTCTATCTCAGGGCTGACCATCACCACCAGGAATACTTTGCAGAACATACCCAGTGCTGCTAATGCTGTCTCATCCACACCTGTAGTGGCAGTATCAAAATCTCCAGTGCAGGTGGGTTGCTAGCAGGTTATTTTTGTTGGAATAATTAAGCAGATGTGTTAGCATCATTTTGTCACCACAGTTGTATTGCAGTAGTTTGATAACTCCATGATTCTGGAGTTGCAAAGATGAGGGAAGCTGTTAAATCCCAATAGCCATCAAACTGGAAAAATCAATCATCACTCCCTACCCCTAAAAAAAAAAAAAATAACGAAGAAAAAAAAAATTGACAGCTCTATGAAATATATACCCAAGCCTAAATTAGGGATCTACGTTATACAGCCATGGTAGTTGATTTAGTTATGTTTAGAATTTGGAGGACGTTACTTACGAGACAGCACACTTAACTTGTAAATGCCTCTCATGATTCAAGCTGGGCAGAGTGTCATAAATAGTAATATATAAGCTTCAAATACTGGATATCGTCAAAGAGCTGTCAGCTCGTGCCTTTGAAATGTAGCCAGTACAATCTTCTGCAAAGAGCTTCAGTCATCTTTTGTAGAAGATCGACTGCACTGATACATGTTATTTCAGTATCAATTATTATGGAAATATTTAAGGTAGGATTCAGACCCTGCTGCTGCCAGCATTGAGCCGATAGCAAAGTCCTTGTCTAGTGAGGGTTACTCTGCTGTTCTAAATTACTCTGCAGTGATCTCTCTTCAGGAATTGTAGCTGTAGTTAACCAGGATTCTGGTAGAATAATGTGTAACAGCTGCGTTTTGTACCCTCCAGTAAAGCCTTACAGGCCTGGTCTCATGGCTTCTGCCACCACTTGCCTTTTACGTTGCTGTTGTACCTGGAGGTTATGGCTTGCCTGGAAGAATCTTGTCTGTGTGAAAGGTTTCTTCTGTTCGCTTACAGTCGTGAAAGCTGCGTTTTGTTGCTCCTTTGAGCATCCCTGTCTCAGGTTATAGATGAGGAAGGCAGCAGCGAGGAGTGCTCAGGGCTCTAACAGCAGCTGCGGGTGGCTGCTCTGATTTGGAGGATGTCAAGGTGACATTAAGCCGCTGTTTCTTCTCCCTGCTGTGCTGTCTAATCTGACCTTGTACTTATAAACTAAATTTATCATAAGTTATGCCGTGTGGAGATGCTGCCGCCTTAAGATGTGTTTATTCCTCTTACGTGGGTACTGCATTTTCATGTTTACCAACAAAATAAAATTAAATCATGCACTTCTGTTCCAGTGGTGACTTAGTGATTGTTGAGGCTTTGCCATTCTGCAGCATAACAAGCCACAGTCGTGATTCTAGACAGCGCATAAAGGAAGCTCACTTTCTCTTCTGTGTAAAAAAAGCAGTAATAATGTTGTTATTTTGGCTCTTCTTTTTAAATTTCCTGTGACTCTGTACAGGCCAGAGCCAGTCTTTGTATGAGTTGTTTATAGCTTGTAATGAATAGTGCAGAGACTCGGTGGAGAGCCTGGCTTTGCGCCTCTGCTTCTGGGAGCGAGAAACGCTGTCAGGAACAGAGACCGACTGCTCCGGAGTGGGGAAAGCCAAAGGAGTGTGAGTTCCCTGCGATCCTATCCCAATCCCATCTCCTCCCTGCGGTCCCACACATAGACAAGCTGTGGGCTAAAGGGTGCGATTTGTTATTGAAATAACCTAGTGATCTGAGCCCCGAGGCTTGGAGAGACCTCTCCTGTAGGAGGGATTCCTGCTCAGAGCCGTGTGTGTTACGGAGTCACTAGTGCATGGAAGTGTTTGGACAGCTAGATGCAGCCAAGCTAGTCAGAGCTGCAGCAAGTGAAGGAAAGAAAATATTTGTGCAGGTAGGTGTTGATTAAAATATGTCAGTGATTGCTGTGTGTAATTTTACTGGGGTATGCTCTGGCATGGTGAGGTGGAGGTGCTGTAGCTCTGGTGTGCTTCTCCAGGTCAGGTTTGCATCTCCTTGTGTGGATGGACCCTTACAATATGCAACCAGGAAGCTTTCTTAAAAACCATTCTTGACATACCAGGCTGTATAAAAACTGTCATCCTCTGAATCAGTTCCTTATCTAGGAATGGTACCGTGGCCAGGGAAGAGCAAGGTGAGAGCAATCCTGTGAGGTTGTACAGGTAATCCTAGACTTGGGCTCAGTTAGTGCCCTTAGTAAGACTGATGTTTGAAGCCAGTGTCCTTTCCAGAAGGGTTTTGCTTGTGACGATCTGTGAGGCAGCTAGCTCTGTGAGTGGTAGGCATAGTAAGAATGTGACACTACCAAGAGCCAGCATCTCAGTAGTATTCCATTAAATGTGTCGTTATAAGGTTATCTATGTTTAAATCCAGTAGCTTTTAATAATACTGGTTTCTTGCTCTCTGAATCTCAGATAAAAAGCATTTGCAGTTGGAGCTTTAGTTAGGTCAGATAGCATTGTGTAGGGTACAGGAGACAAATTTACAGCAGTCCCATCACCTGCCTGTCAGTGGGCATTGACCGCAGCCCCAG